AGAGCAAGCTACCGGGTAAGTCAGATCGCTTAAACTTTATATATATTTTTCTACACAAGTAACGCTTTATTTTGCTTCGCATTTTTTAGATTTCGAACCAACTCGTATATAACTCGCGAAGAGAATTAGTTCTGAAACCGTAGCTTGTAACATTTCGTCAATAAACGAAACATCTATTATCTGCTCTATAGCATCCTTATATATGTCAAATACAAAATATCCCTAAAGGAAAGGATGGGAGGCTAGGAATGTTTGGGAAATGGAGAGAGAAATTTTCATTCACCAAGCAGCTTTCAATTAACCAAACACACCGCTCTCTCGCGTATTACACTTGCCTGGATGACTCGCAATGTCTTCACGTTTGTTTCGAGTTTTCTTTTTCTCTTGAGCTTTCTTATGCTTTTTCCTCGTCATTATCTATTTACTCTACAAGACTTTAGCTCTTTTTTTCTCTCTCTAGAAGTCTCTCCGAATATTTTGGTATTTATGCCAGGCGTTCCTCACTTCAATACAGGGAAGGATTGGAACTAGTTACCACAGGGATACCAAACCTATGCGCCATGTAAATTCCCGGTTGTGCTATTTTTAGTAACCGGATGCAGTTTAAATTTCGCCTTACCCTACTCACGTGTCTCATCAAATTTCGCACGCGTTACTTTTTTGATCACTAAAAATGAAATGGAAAGAGGGAACGCGCGCAAGGATGACGAAGTTTCCCTCTCTTATTTATGCTCTCTTGTCCTAGCCTATGTGGTGCACAAATCTCAATCCCATTCCCATTTTTGATCGTTTTTGTTTGTGAATCCATTCACAGTGTATAAAATACCCTTTTCCCAGACAAAAAAGCGAATTCTATCTCCCATTTTACCTCTACATGAACCTCTAGTTTGGTTTGTGTCATGAATAGATTTTCGGACCAACACTAAGAACGGCTGCAAAGGAGACTAGTTTCAACACGGCAGTTTCACTTATGTTCTAAAAATCCAGCCAAATCTATGCAAAAACAAAAAACAAAAAACAAAAAACAAAACAAAAAAAACAAAAAAAACAAAAAAAAAATCTCCAATAATCATTAAGAAGCCAAGCTATTATTATTTTTCAGTAGGCATAAATTTCAGGTCACCCATCCAGGTACTTATTTCGCAAACCGGACTTGACTCAGTACCTTGAATGACAACGATTTATCCACTGGGCCACGGTTCAAGGTAAATCAGCATAACAATGGACATGAAAACAATGCAATGAATAGACTAGACTTTTTAACATCTTTTTCTCAACCGATTCCGTGCGTGGCAGAGATGCAAGGGATTAGCCGATATTGTCTGGGGGCCGGCTGGTCTCTCCCCTGATGCTTCGGATAGAACATTTTCTTGTGTAATTCGTACACCCAAGGGCAGAAGGATTTAAGCGCCGTCATGACCGAAGTCCATACGACGCCCCAGCTCTGCGGATGTCTCGGGGGTATGGCACATTTGAATCGATTTTTTGAGTTTTTTTTGGTGGGTTCGAATCCCACCTTATCCACATAAGATTTTTTTCTTCTTTTTTTAACTATTTTTTATCAGATTTAAATCTTCAACAATCCTTTTAGGAAAAAAAGATTCATTCCTAGTTGCCTATGGAGTTTGTTCATGATCAGACATTTAAGGAACACCGATCCGAAAAGTAGAGCTTTTTATCATTACTGTTTCATTAGAAACACCGACGCAGCTCACACTAGTTTTTAGCTAGTTATCTCTTCAAAAATAGTAGTAGTTAAGTGCAGGGGTTACCAAAAAATAGACTAATATCTTGCAGCATGAATTGAAATACATGACACGTCTATTAGGCATTCCACTCTGTGCAGTCTGCCTATTTTTTTATTTTTTATTTTGCATCATGGGTGAGAAATCCGCAACAGTAACTTTGATTTTAAGCAGCATATTCAATCTCTTTATTTTCACGTTAACAAAAATATTGATTCCTATTTTCACATAAATATTTTTATAAACTTTTAGACCCAGGTACCGGACGTACACAGAACATTTGATTTCTTTCTAATGCATCATGTATAAATTCTAGTTAAAATTGACTTTTGAAAACGTACGCTAAGATTCGTTTAAAGCGGCTTTATCTTCCTTTTCTAAGTTTCTTTAACTTGATTAAGCCCATTCTTAATGTTTGAATTTCGTCTTTCCAAATTTAATGCTTGAAGCTTGTCCAATAGATTAGCAGCATGCGCGCAGCGAAGGGGAATGGAGAGGAGAAAGGAGGCTGTACTAAACGACAATTGCAAAGAAGATCGAGGCATCACACAGCACTTTTGCAATCAATCTGTATGGTCTTCTCCACTACCGGCACGACATACAAGACCGAATTGCCACGAAGTTTTCTTCTTATGACCTTGCCTGTCCAAAATCCATCGTAGAAAACTAGCTTGCCCGTCTGATCGACGACTGCCAAACGAAACCTGGTTTGGAAATATAAATCACACACACATAAGTAAGGCTCATGAAAAAAAAAAAAAAAAAAAAAAAAAAAAAAAGGAAGTTTGAAATGTTTGGTCAGCAGGCACCGTATTTCTCCTGAGTTAAGACTTTTTCAAGGTTTCCTGGTCTGCGTGCGCAGTTGGCTCTATTGCGACGTTTCACTGAAAGAAGAATGTTTTGAAGAATATGCTTGTTAAACTTACGAGAAGCCCACAAGATCATCAAATGCCATTCTGATTTGTTCATACACATCGGTTTCATTCATTTCCGCATTGAAAAACACCTTGCAATAAGAGCTTCTTGATCCTCTAAGTTTGCAAAGCTCAGACTGTGATGGCAGGTAGAGAGAATTTGCGGGGAGAACGAAGACTTTTTTAAGGAATCCACTACGTGGACAACCTCGCTCTTGTCCGCTGGTGGCACAATCTTCTTCCCTTGAGGTGTTTGTGGCTGCTGACATTGCTCCATTTGAAATTTGTCCGGAGGGGGAAGAATTAAGGAAACTGTTTTTACTTCCATCTTGAGCGTCTATGCCCATTCGACTAGCGATAGACGACAACAACATCAAATTATCGGCCTTGTCTTCGTAACCTAGAATGAGAAAATAGTTTTGAAACTACAGTTCACCTACACCGTAACTCCTTTTTCAAAGAACAATGTACCTGGTGACGCGTTCCTATTCTTATCTTTAGTATCTTTATCACAGGACTCGTCACGATCTTGCGCATGTGCAGAGTCGATACTAACACTTGGTGATGAGGATGAACTCATTTCTTGACCAAAATCTAAATAACACCATAATAGTCTGTTAGATAGAAAAACGATTGGCAATTCTTGTCCTCTCGCCTCCCCCCAAAGGAATAAGCACTTTGTTATCATTATCATTTTACATAACGAAAGACTATTTACGAATTTAAAATAACATGTACAGTTACAAACTCAGAATTTTTAGGGAAAAATTGCTTGTTAGAGCGGCATCTTACCATTGTTAGCAGCAGATTGATCAGGGCTAACCACTTTATTCGGCTCTTTAATTTCGCTATCTTTCCTATGGAAATGATAAGAAAAGACTATGAGAATGCACGTTATGAAGGAATATATATTATAGTAAATGGAATAAACTACGATATATCATCGGCAGACCACCACATGAGTAACGCACGACATTGTACAAGTCACGCTGGAAAAAAAAGGCTAGCACACACGAGTAACGCATGATAATTGTCACGCTGAAATACAATTCAACATGGCAGAAAATGACCTCAATGTAACGTAGCATAGTTCATTGATGATATAGCATATAGTAACAATCACAAACTATATACAGTATTTATGCATGTATCAAGAATTCCGAGCTACTGCTCTAAGCGCATGCTCAAGGGGTCAAAAAAATGGCATCATTGGTTGAAAAAATTGCCATATTTTGGTATTTGATTTGAAATTAGCTTACTTGCTCTTGATATTTAATGAAAATTGTGCTTGATAAAAAATACCATTTTCCACTCCCGATATATTTTTCGTTTGTCATCACAAAGGATTCATTGTGAGGCTTCTTGCATAATGCTCAGTCATTCGTGACAAGAGAAAAGAATAGAATTAATTTAGCACGTACCCTCGTACTGAAAACTTTGTACGTGACAAGCAAAGCATATCTCGGAAGTTAGCTATCAAAATATTTATAACCCCCTATCCCACTGTTTGACCCCTTGAGCATGCGATAGCGCGGAACTCTTGATGCTTATATACTGGTCATAAACCTTATGTGTATGTTTTTAGGGTGTTGACAAAGCTCAGCACGTCTGTTCTTAGTAAGAGCTAGTTGATGCGGCTGAATGGGTCTCGTAGAGCATTGCGCTTTGACAGCGACACCATATCTAGAGCTGAAGATCTTGTCAATAGTGGACGTCGATCCTCTTTGCGCCGATAGGTATACCACAAGTTCTAACCAGTCTATTAATTCTGCTGCAATTATATATCAAGAAGAGTCTTTTTAGGCGTTTTGTCAAAGTTATATTATGCCAATCAAGCCGCGCCGTAATGCATGGCTTGGCATAATATAAATAAATGTTCAATTCTTGGCTTTCACCCACGTGACACCGGTCTTGACAACGGTTGCTATCCGCCATCTTTGTGCCCCTCGATAGTAAACAAACAGACGCGACAGAG